CAGCTTTCTCGCCGCTCTCTTGCTGCAAGTGTGGTAACGTCCCATGAGAATTGGGGTCAGATACAAGCCATTAGTTCTTTACATTTCATGGCTGGAATTCATTTGAGGATTCCTGTTTTTGTAAATGGATTTATGTCTATAGGAATTAGAATTAACCAGTTTTGCAACATTTGTCTTTAGCAAGGGGCTACAGTGATGTTACTAAATAGGGGAGCCAGCAAAGTGACCATTGGCAGTGATGTGTATTGGTATATCAGCTGTGATGTGACAATGCACATTGGTAGAACCCAATGTGCATTGGAACACTCTTGCCAGTGTCCCATTACATATCTTCCCAATTCACTAACAGGGTACCTGTTACTGAAACCTGTTAGAGCCTCTATTACCTAACTGAGGGGCTATGCAGACGGTCAAAAAGGGGTGCTTTGAGGGTGATTTGTAGGCATGGCCTTTAGACGACGCATGCCTAAAAGTCCCCAGGAAAGCGCCCTCTAGCCATTGTATGCTGAGAAAAGCTGCTCCAAAAAGGAGCCACTTTTTTCCGTTCCTTTGGTGAAGATGGCACCTTCGCATATGTGTGTGTGTGTGTGTGTGTATGCAGCGACACTGATACACCAGAAAACTACCACATAAATGAACTGTGGCACATGGGGCAGAAATAGACTCAGCGATCCAGAGCATGCGCCCTACCATGCAGTCTTGAATTTAAAGTGCCCTATGCTTCCAAGTGTGGAGCACTGGCGCAGGTGTGCTTGAATATTAGAACGCTAACCCTAACCCTAATTGTAACCCTAACCCTAGCCCTAATTGTAACCCTACGCATGCACCCTCAATAACTGTCCTCTGTTATGACAATAAATGCATTCTGTTGTATGTACACTTTCTCTCAGCATTAACAGCAGTTTGCATGAAAAGGGCTTTTGTGACCTTCTGTGCAGGTGTGCAGGTGTGCATAAGACCTGCACATCACTTCCTGACATGATTAGGGGGGAGCTTCTGGAATAACGTTTGTCCATGTGTCCTGTTGACCATCTCCCTTGCATGACCACCAGCTACATGTATCAAGTCTGTCCACACAAACCTCCCTTGCATGTACCTCCCCCCTCCCCCTTGATCTGTGTGGGACAGGTTTTGTGGAGGATGATGGGGTGTCTTTTCAGTTGACAAACCCATTCCTTCACCCCAAGGGTGGCACAATCAGACAGTGGTACCTGTCTACTGCACCCACTCCTTGGGGAAAGCAGACGTCAGTGAATCCTTGTATGATCTGTGGGTGTATGACAGTTCCTGTGCAGGTGCACAGGGATGCCAAACTTTAGTCACCTTGGTACACAGAGAGTGACAGACTGTATACTAGCCTATAACAGGTCCTGTACAGGTGTGCAGGGATGTTTTCCTGCACAGATGCATAGGTGTGGAGAGATATTCCTGCGCACGTGTGCATGTGTTTGAGAGAGAGAAAAAAAAAATTAAAGCAGCCACTGCTGGCCCATGCAGTTGCTCCGTCTCCCTTTGTGGTGTCCTTGGGGCTGGCGGTGCAGTTGCTGGGGCTTCAGTACAGCCTTGGAAAAGGCTTTTGCTCTGTCCTCATTTAGGGCAACCTCAGAGCAGGCAGTGCGGTTGCTGCAGCTTAGGGAAAAGGCAACTGCAGGTCACTTTTTCCTGCCCATCTGCATAGCCCCCAAGTATGTGTAAAGTTATTCAATGTAAACAGCAAGAGAGAATTCTGGCCCCCAGTGTTTGGACAAGATTTTGTTATTTAAAAAGTGAAATGTTTCTAAACCCAAAGACTGACACAAGCTAATAAACTGGAGAAAAGTTAACAAACAAAATATTAAACCAATCAATGAATACAAACTAATAAAGCTTTTAAAGAGCAAAAAACAAACAAGCACCCTACATTACTTATATAAAGAAAACATCATGAGTAGATATGTTCATGAAAGCTCAGGGATAAAACAGTGGTTCAAAACTGACACTGGTGAAATTAAACAAGCAATGACATTGCCTAATTAAAAACATAGTTTACCTCATCTGGGTTTTATGTAAGTCTGGGTATCCATCCAAAGAGATGTCCAGTCCTGCTATTCAATCAAATATTTGTGTCTGCAAAGTATTTTTGTGTCTCAGTTTTTTGGAACTAACATCTCCGCGTTTCATATGGATATGTCTCAGTACAAAATCCATATGCTCCATATGTATAATTATGTGAAGTCAGCCAGATTTTGGTTATGCTATTAAGCTACCACTGCCATTTTTTAAAAGAAAAATAGCACATAGACTGCCCCCATGCAAACTTCAAACTTTGCTATTGCATGTTACACTTTGGTATCTGTGTCCTAGTATTTTAAACAATGGAGGAAAGAGTAGATATAAGGTCTAAAATTGCACATTTGGATTCGAGGAGCACTTCTTCAATGAAAGCTTTGATGGGGGGGGGCAGGAGGAGGAGTACAGCAAGTATGGCCAATTCTTATGGCTGAGTCTGGAAATTGTAGTACAAAAAGGCAACTTTTCCAAGTTCTGTGGATGACAAAAAAGACAGTCAAGGGTTCAGGTTCATATCACTTAGGACTAGAGCTTGGAAAAGTTACATTTTGGAATTGCAGCTCTTACAATACTCTAGCCAGCCTGACCAGCATCCATATTGACTGGGGGACTGTGGAATCTGTAGTCCAAAAAGTAACTTTCCCAAGCTTTCTAGAGGATATCTAGCATGCAATGATGCATCTATGACTGGACCTCAGGATTCTCAGTATGGTTCCCTCCAGTGGTCACCTGGTCCATGGAGAATAACAAAGGGCAGTGGCAAGCGAGCTCAGCACCAGCTCTTGAGCAAGAATAAGCACACTGTGAGCCACAGATGCAGATGTTGCTCACTGCAACATCCATTCTTACTTTTACAAGCATTTTATAGTTGGGGGCATCCATACAGGTACATCTGTGACTATAGATCCTTACTTATTATTTGCTTTTTATTACTCGAAAAAACATATTTTTTTCCAATTGTATTTTAAAATAAAGTCCCTTTTTTGACAACAAAATCATTCTGATTACAAAGGCAATCCCTGTAGCCCTAAGCTAGAAACTATTTTATTCCTGCAGTCATCATGGTGCTATGACAAATGAGTTTAACAGCTGAATTGCCCATACTCAGAACATTTCTTTATCTTTTTAAAATCAGAATTTTGGGGAAACAATTCATTGTTTGTATAAACTATTCGAAATGCTGAAGCAGTTGTAAAGCATGGAATGGCTGGGGGTGTTGACAGAAGAGCATAACCTCCCACACTTCAAAGATGTAAACAGGGACACCTATGTGAATGTGTAAGGCATGTGGCTGAACAACACGAAGGTGTGATCCAAAGGATATATTCAAATGTCAATGTCATTAATGAAGAAGAACACATAAAACTGTAATCTTTGAAGATGAGAAACTTCTGGATTTATGGAAAAAAGGAAAACCCAAACCAATAAATATACCTTTTTGGTGTCCAGTATGATAATAAATACTATATTATACATTATATCAAAATGAACCAGACACTATTCAAAATGACAGTTTTCTCTCAGACTCCTGACTACTGCATGTGCTTTGTATTCACACTCACTCCATCTGGTCAACACATATTATATATGTGAAGGTTCATGTGGTCATCTTGAGATAATCATAGCCTCCCAGTCTAACTTAATTCTCAGGACTCTTGTTAGGATAAAAATGCAGCTGGAATTCAGGGGAAATCACGAGCAACACCTTCAGTAGCAGACCATACAGAAAAAAAAATTGTTAAAATATGTATGTTTGGAACAATGATGACTGTAATAAAGAATGTGATGCATTCCAGTGGTCTGTTGTGATGTTATGCTCATCATACAATCTTGAAGAGATTTACTTGGGAATAAGTCACACCAAGGGATTTCTTCTGAGAAGGGATGTATATGACTGCATTGTTAATATTGTTCTGTAAAAAGGGTTCAATACCCCGCTCGGCCATGAAACACACTGAGTGACCTTGTGCAAGTCACATGTTCTCAGCCTCAGTGGAAAGCAGTGGCAAACCTCCTCTGAACAAATTAGAATCATACAAGCGATCATATTCCCTATTACCATGTATGGATGTGAGAGCTGAACAGTTAAGAAAGATGATAGGAAGAAAATCAATTCATTTGAGATATGCTGCTGGAGAAGAGTGCTGAGGATCCTATGGACAGCCAAAAGGACAAACAAATGGATCCTAGAGCGATCAAGCTGGAAACCTCCCTGGAAGCCAAGATAACCAAACTCAGGCTGTCATACTTTGGACACATCATGAGAAGGGAGGACTCTTTGGAAAAAACAATAATGTTGAGGAAAGTGGAGGAAGTAGGAAGAGAGGAAGGCCAAATGCTAGATGGATGGACTCTATTAAGGACGTCACAGGCTGCAAGAATTAAGCAGAGGATCTTGGAGATGTCTCATCCATAGGGTTGCCATGAATCGAGATCGACTCAAGGGCAGTTAGCAACAACAGTTAAAAGATAACCTAGCATACAGGGATCAATAGCCAATAAGTATACTGGCAGAGTGAAAGCCTTACACTGTTATCCAGAAGGTAAAGGTTACATCTGCTCACCCACTTCATTCATAGGTGGATAACATCAGCTGAGGGTTTCAAGATTGCAGCCTCCACTCTTGTCACAGATCAGTTGTATGGATTTGCTCAGATATGATCTGATTGTCCTTGCACAAAGAGCAACCTTTACTTTCAGTAATTTTCCATGTCATGACTTGTTATTTGGTTTGTTGTTGTGCCTCCAAATCGTTTCTGACTCATGGTGATAGGGGTTTTCTTGCCAAGATTGTTCAGAGGAGGTTTGTCACTGCCTTCCCCTGAGGCTGAGAGAATGTGACTTGCCCAAGATCACCCAGTGGATTTCATGGCCAAGCTGGGAATCGAACCCTGGTCTCCAGAGTCATAGACCATTCCTCAAACCACTATGCCACTCTGGCTCACCTTGTTATTTGGTAGAGAGAGGAAAGTTAATTGGAATGGATTAACCGCTCAACATCTTGTCTCAGTAACAACCGTGATAGGTTCACTTTAGGATTGCCATAAATCAGAAATTACTTGAAGGTACACAACAACAGCAGCTCACTAACTGTTAAATAATTGTTTACCCTTTCATACTAATAGTTAAGTAACTGTTCATCCTTTCGTACTAATTTTCTATCTCTGTTACTTTAGAAGCCACTAACCATAGATCCTACTTGGGTTGCAGCAGGAAAAAGATATGATTAACTGCAGAAAAAGGTGTGGCTTCTTTGCTTGCTCACATGAAAGAAGAAGCACAACAAAAACCAATGAAAACTCATGCATTTCCTGGTTTATTAAGCCATGATTGGATTGTCCTAGAGTGGCCATTGCCAATATCTTAGCAGTGCTTTGTGACAAGTTAAATCAGTTGTCATCCTGGGCCACAACTGAAATCATTGCAAAGAAGGAAGAGTCCCACACTTAGTTGTACCATCAGTTGCTTCCACATAAGAACCTCTTTGTTTTCTAAATAACCACATCCTGTCTCTTCTCCATTCCAAGTCATTTGACAGGCCTAAGACTCTAATGGGCATTGATAAAATTAGAAAAGCTCAGCAGGATGTAAGGACTTAATGCAATAATAAACTTACTTTAATACATCAGTTCAGGCTCATCCCTGGTTTAATTTGTATGGAATTTCATTGTATTACACTGAAGATTATTTGGTGTAATACATTGTAATATTGTCCTTAAGGTATTCATTATCGCCTTTGATTCATTTTGTTGCAATATTTATCACATAGCTCTTGGCACAATTTGTTGTTCATTTTTTGTGGAAATCTTGCATATCCTGGAATGTGTAATATTTTTATTGGAAAAGTGTGTGTGTTATAAAGAAAGAAATAAGAAAATGAATCTAATTTAGTTTTAATAATACAATATTCCTCTTCTTGTATGCTAAGATTAATCATTCCGGGAAACACTTTGTCTTCCATAGTTAATATACAAACTCCAAATCTTTGAAAGCTTTAGCCAATAGCAATATGACAAGTTTAATAGATAATGTGATTTGTTAACATGAATTTAATTATCTTGAGTAATGAGGTAAGAAACTTCTGGAGCTTCTTTTTTAATCAATAGCCTTATAAGCATTTAAATCTGTCAAACAAAACGAATATTCAGTCCCAGATAAATAAAAATTACCATCCAACTAAATAAAATAATAAGATTTTTCCTCTTATATATGTAAAGAATCACATTATGCTGACTTGTAACAATGGAAGAGGTGAGTTTCTTTATGAAGGTTGCAACTCTATGTCAAGGTAGGAGGAAGTCTGGATATTTGCCTAATGCCATTTGGCTGATCCACCTTCTATAGTCAATATAATGAAAGTTGTGGTTCTTCTTGCATAGACTAGGACAACTGTAGGTCCACCTTCTGTCTTTTGTTTCCACAATACAATTTCATAAGGCAGTTGGAGGGTAGCTCTTTGTTCCCCATGGTCCCATGTCACTTCTCATTTGATCTGTTGGCCTGGACTGTAGACAATGTTTTGCTGAGGAAAATGTTTTGTTTTGTTTTTTGCTTCATTTTGTGTTGTTGCTGCTAAACCAATGGGTCATTCAGACTTTTTTTTTTAGCATGACAATGCAAATAATCTCACTCACACATTTCTAGTTAGTTATTCATACTATGGAACCACATTGATGTGCATCTCTGCAAATTTGGTTGCTTACACATGCCAGCACTTGAATAAAGATGGAGTTGATGATGCAAATACATTTGGAACACATTCAAGGCATGCAGAATTTTATCTCAGGTCTATTCAGGTCTATTCACATCAGTTATTTACACTGCCAATGATGCAAATCTTTTTTTAAAAATTGTGGAAACCCCCAATATCAATTATGCTGGATTAAGTGGATTTTTGGCACCTCCAAAAAAAATGTAATTGGATGCATGTGAACAATGAAGATTTAATCCAGATTCATCCTGGACTATTTTCACCATTTGAATAACCCCTAAGTTTGCCACATAAAATACATTCTGGCACCTGTACAAGGCTTGAGTGGAATAACCTCAGGGGCAGGGGGCAGAATGCATTGTGTTTGGGATGGACAGACACAGTGTGTGTTATGTGGGGAGATGTTGTTGTTTTGCAGGTTAGAGAGTGGAACTCAGAAGCTTTTGGTTATTCCAGAGACAAAGCTGCACAGTGTTCAGTGGTGCTAGGTCCGTCATCCTTGTCAGGGGGTTCAAATGTAGTCATGCCAGCCAACTTATTTTGAACAGGAGGCAACAACTACCTCTTCCTTTTCCTGGCAGGATTTTTTTTGACAGCTATAATACATTAATAATCATTTGTTTCCTTTTCCAAGATCAGTTGTATCACTCTGACAATCTACAACAATAAAAATAACATAATTCAAGACCAGGAAGGAATAAAAAGACATTGGATGCAATACACAGAAGAATTATACAAAAGAGATGACAAAATGAGGGATACATGGAATGAAGAGCCATATGAAGATGAACCCCAAATTCTAAAAAGTGAGGTGGAAACTGCGATAAGATAGCGAAAAACAAATCACCAGGAACATGTTCCAATTGAATTGCTGCAAACCACACTGAGAGAGTCAACTCTAGTGCTAACCAACATATGTCAACAGATATGGAAAACAAAAAATGGCCAACAGATTGGAAGTGATCAATATACATCCCCAGCCACAAAAAGGGAGACACAAAAGATTGCAGCAACTATAGAGCCATAGCACTGATCTTTCATGCAAGCAAAATCATGCTCAAAATTCTGCAACATAGACTTGAACCATACACGGAGAGAGAAATCCCAGAGGTCCAAGTGGGGTTCAGGAAAGGAAGAGGCATGAGGGACCACATTGCAAACATATGATGGCTAATAGAGCGCACCAGGGAAGTCCAAAAGAAAATCAGCATGTGCTTTATAGCCTATAACAAAGCCTTTGACTGCATAGGTCATGAAAGGCTATGGAATGCCCTTAAAATCATGGAAGTGCCAATCCATCTGATAGTTCTGATGAAGAATCTGTACAAGAGGCTACTGTCAGAACAGAACATGGAGAAATTGAATGGTTTCCAATCGGCAAAGGAGTCAGACAAGGCTGCATCCTTTCACCTTATCTGTTCAACTTGTATGCAGAACATATTATAAGAAAAGCAGGCTTGGACACAGAAGAAGGAGGAGTGAAAATAGGAGGAAAGAATATCAACAATCTAAGATATGCAGATGATACCATAGTACAAGGAGAAAACCTCACAGACCTGGAATACCTACTAAGGAAGATCAAAGAAGAAAGTGCTAAGGCAGGCTTAATGCTGAACATAAAGAAAACAAAAAATATATCCTGTCAATGGTCAACCCTGGATTCTTCAAATGTTGATGCTTTTTTTGTGCCTGGGATAGAACATTGATAGAAATGGGGACTGCAGTCTGGAAATCAGAAGACGACTAAGAATGGGGAGGGTGGCTATGAAAGAACTAGAAAAGATTCTAAAATGCAAAGATAGAGAACTCAGCACAAAAGTTAGAATTGTGTGGGGAATTTGCTGGCAAACCACGAAAGTCCCATGTTTCCCTCTCTCAAAAACACTGCTGCAGTTACGCACATATGCAAATCTAATAACTAACCTGGCTGAGATTTACACACAGCCTAATGAGTAAACATACGAATAACCTAGCTAGTCTACAGTCTAATGAGTAGACTTAATGAGTAGACTTAATGAGTAAACTTGCTGGTTTCCTGTGTCCTATTTACTTACTCTGACCTTTGGGTCCTGCATCTACTGCCAGTTAATGAATGATGGACAGCAGCAAGCATCCTGTAAACAGATTGCTAATAAAAGGCGAGAGGGAAAAACACACCCTCAAGCATTTGCGCCCCCATTCTTGTCTCGGCGTATCATTCCTGCATGGAACCCCAACAGAATTGTACAAGCCATTGTATTCCCTATTACGATGTAGGATATGAGAGCTGGATAGTTAAGAAAGAGGATAGAAAGAAGATCAGTTCATTTGAAATGTGATGCTGGAGAAGAGGACAGCCAAAAGGACAAACAAATGGGTCCTAGAGCAGATCAGACCGGAAACCTCCCTGGAAGCCAAGATGACCAAACTGAGACTGTCATATTTTGGACACATCATGAGAATAGAGGACTGTTTGGAAAAAACCCCCAATAATGCTGGGGAAGGTGGAGGGAAATAGGAAGAGAGGAAAACCGTATGCCAGATGGATGGACTCTATTAAGGAGGGTCTGTAGCATCACTGGGGGGTGCGGGCCACACTGGGTGACACCCCAGAAAGGGGGTGAGACCATGGAAAGAGGGTGACACCAGGTCTGTCCCCTGCCCCCAGTGGGCATTGGGCCTGTTCTCCGGGCCTTCCTGGGGCCGCACACGTGTGCTCTCCCATGTGGCGTATGCACCAGAAGTCCCATCCCCAGAAGTCCCACCCCCTCAGACTGGGTGTCACCAGGTCAGAGAACGCCACTGCACAGAGTGCCTTGCATTGTGTATGTGTGTGTGTTTTAAATATAATTCCAGAGAGATGCAAATGCGGTTTAACTAAGAAAGAAAGAGTTTAACCCCCCTCCCCCAAAAACCTGTTACGGAATAACAAAGGGGAGGCAGTTTAGGGGAGAGGGATCATGCAATCCTGGAACTGCCATAAGAGTGACTTACTGTTCCTGGGGTCTAGAGCTATACCACTGCTATCAGGAGCTTATTGACAGGTTTTCCCATCAGTGGCAAGGTATGGGCTAACCAGACTTTGAAGGCAAAGCAATGATAAGAGGGAGATTGTCTTGTACTGTAGGTATGGCCAAAGGTACTATTATTTAACTTTTATGGCAGTTTAAAAGCAGGGTATGATGAAGTCCAAAAAACACCATATTTTCATAATGGTTTGGAATGGATTTTTTTTTACCATTTTTGACATT